AAGTAAATAAAATTTTAAAAAGTTGAAACTATAAATTCAATTATTGTAAGTTTGAACAGTAAACCATTACTTTAATGTATAAGTAATTAAGTGATTTAATTACGGTATTACTTTTAAGACTATAACTTAATCAAGATTTCCCCAACAAAAATTCACACAATAAACTAAATTAAACTGAACTAAGCTAAACTAAATAAATACATAATTAAAAGAAACACATAAAAAAATACATAAATAATATAAATAAATGCATCTAAATAAATGCATATAAATAAATGCATATAAATAAATAAATATAAATAAATGCATATAAATAAATAAATAACCAAATTAAACAAATAAACAAATAAAACAATTAATAAGTAAATAAATAAATAAATAAATAAACATCATGGAATCATAAATTAGCAATTAAAAATATATTACAATAATCAAAACAACACAAAATCACATTTGTAGACCTGCCAAAAGAAATCCAATGACAGTACAGTAAATCTGTGAAGATTAGCTCTCATTCACATATTAGTCCTCAAACAGCAGTGAATACTGGCGAGCCCTGCAGTATAATGAGGCTCGTGTAGCATTAAATATGGTAAATGTGAACTAGAAACTGCTGCAAACAAACAGTCATGAGAAGATGCAGATTTTCCATCATGTTATGATCGACTTATTAGCTTAGTAATGCTGTAATCAGGTTCACAGACGAAACACAAATTAGTAGAGATGGAGGGACTAATTAATGGACATGGAGGAACTAATTGCAAAGCAAGCAACTCACCCACTCAGACGCCATTTATTGGTCAAATTAAATTAAATGTGAAATGACTTAAAACATGAAATTATGTTTGAGTGAGCTGTTATTTAGAGCGCTGTTAAAATCAAGCTGAGATCTACAGTTGAAGAATTATTAGCCCTCCTGAATCTTCAAGTCCCCTATATCTGTTTAATATAGAGTAGATTTTCCCAACACATTTCTAAACATAATAGTTTAACAGTAATAACTGATTTCTTTTATCTTTACCATGATGAGAACACATAATATTAGACTAGATATTCTTCAAGACACTAGTATTCAGCTTAAAGTCACATTTAAAGGCTTACTTAAATTATACTAATATAATTTAGTGTAGTCAAGTTCACAATTTAAACTGTCCTGTTATATCATAATTATAATATGTGGATATTTAAATATTTTTTTTAAATATTAACTATGTTATTTAGGCAAGTCATTGGACAAATCTCCTTGTTGCATTAAATAAAAATATATTTTAAAAAGTATTAAAATTACTAATAATTTTCCCTTCAACTGTATGCATGTGGGTGATTAGATAATTATTATAGACTGCAGCTCTGCACAGGAGGTTTGGCTAAAGGAGAAATGATCATGCTCAACTGAGTCTGGTTTCTCTCAAGGTTTTTTTTTCCTTCACTTTGGTCAGTTGGTGAAGTTTGTTCCTCGCCACTGGCCTGCTTGGTTTGGGACTTGTGGAGCTGCGCATTAATGGATTTGCTCTTCAGTGTTTGGACTTTCAGCAGTGAAAATTAAACCACACTGAGCTGTACTGAACTTCAACTCTGAAAACTGGAATGACACAGTTTACATTTACTAGAACTTCTGTGTTAAGCTGCTTTGACACAATCTACATTGTAAAAGCGGCAGAGAAATAAAGATGAATTGAATTGAATATAAAAAGCATGTGTAAAATCAGAAGTGTTCAGCTGAATTGATGAATTGAGTGAATGAAATCATTATTTCTTAGTTATTTATATATATTTTACTGTTTCTATTCATGAAGAGTGATTTGCAAATCCTCTCTTTTCTTCAGGTATACCCTGTCCTATAATTATAGTGTGGGCCATTGCGAAACTCTACAATGAAAATGAACAGTAAGTTGCTGATTTGCAGAAATGAGCTTTAAGCTTATAATGTGAGTGAATGAGTGTCAGACAGTAATTGTAGCACGCCTGGCAAGAAAAGGATGAATGAGCCTGTGATTGGACTGCTTGTGAATTTGGGAAATTTCCCCAGATTAGTTCCCATTTTTAAGAGATGTTATCTTAAAAAAAAGTTTTTTAAATAGTTGTTTTTTGGAAATAAGCTCACGGCATTTTTGCTTTTGATGGCACAGAATTGTAATTAGTTACTGTGTGGTGTGTGTTATGCAGGAGAGTGTGACCCTGCTTTAGGGAATGTACTGTATAGGGGATACAGTATATTTCAACTCATCATTCAGCTGCTTTCATTTTATTGTGAACTAATTGAACTTTGGATGGATGGATGGACGAAAGGATGGAGGAACGGATGGACAGATGGATGATTGGGTAAATGATTGGGTGTATAGATGGAGGGATGGATGATTGGGTGTATGGATGGATGGATGGATGGATGGATGGATGAATGGATGGATGGATGGATGGTTGAATGGATGGTTGAATGGATGGATGGATGGATGATAGGGTGGATGGAAGGAAGGAAGGAAGGAAGGAAGGAAGAAAGGAAGGAAGGAAGGAAGGAATGAATGAAGGATGGATGGATGGATGGATGGATGGATGAATGGATGGATGGATGGATGGATGGATGGATGGATGGATGGATGGATGGATGGATGGATGGATGGATGGATGAATGGATGGATGGATGGAAGGAAGGAAGGAAGGAAGGAAGGAAGGAATGAATGAATGGATGGATGGATGGATGGATGGATGGATGGATGGATGGATGGATGGATGGATGGATGGATGGATGGATGGATGGATGGATGGATGGATGGATGGATGGATGGATGGATGGATGGATGGATGGATGGATGGATGGATGGATGGTTGGATGGATGGATGGATGGATGATAGATGGACGGATACAATGATGGATGGATAGATGGATGGATGATAGATAGATGGATGGATGGATGGATGGATG